CCATATAGCTTCCTCCACCAGCAGGATGATTTTGTTTATTAGAAAATATGCACACTTGGTAAGCTGTCAACGTGAGTTGTCCTTAAGGTATGCATTATTCAGAGGGAGAAAATATTTTCAGCACGACTTGAAGTCTTTATTCCCGACAACGCATTAAGAATTCAGCACAGTAATCTTATTGTTTTAGCTGTTGCTTTTACCATTACTCACGCAACATGACTGGAAAAAAACTGAATGATGATTTTTCCCCCTGCCATGTTTTGTGTGTGTGAATTTTTTTTTTTTTACTTTTAGTTTGGGATAAATGCGCCTAACAATCCACCATCTGGTGTCCAAATATTTTTACAGACATGAATCCAAATACCACAAAGTCATTGCTACAGCTCAGGTTATATGGGTCTTTTTTCAGGCAGACTTTTTTATTAAATGTGATTATTCCTGAACTATGAGAATCTCAGCCAGGAGCCTGAAGATTTAGCCTTGAGAAGAAAACTTGCTGTGTTGACCAAAATAAAAAAGATGGAAGGGAGAACTCCCCCTGAAGCTGATTTCAAGGAAAAAAAAAAAAAAAAAGAACTTGGGTTTTTGTTATCATACTCAGCAGTATACAAGCTGAATCAAAGTGTCGACTTTTGCTGCATTCCTGGTGTAGCCATCACTGGTGGAAGAAGATAAAGTGTGAGTAAGCTCTGTGGGAATCAAATTTCAGCCCTGTCAGGTGTAATCAGAACCACGGACTTAAAACAAAGGCTTCACTCCACCTCCTCAGTTGGAGGATGGGTCCTCCCCCAACCCCCAGGCACTATGAGGAAAAAGGAGGAGCAAATTTGCAAGAGCAAAATAAAACCCAACAAAACAAGAGCAAACTTGAATGGTGTCTCCTGCTCTTCACATCAGGGAAGGATCCTTCTACATTGAATATTTGATTTCCCCCTCTTTCAATGTAATAATGGCAACAGAGTTTTAGAAGACATGGGTTGTCATTTAAAAAATTAAGGTTCCCCTCTTAACCCCCCATAAACTGGATTTGCGAGTCTGCAAGTCTGCAGTATGGTGCAGTTCCTGGGACCGCACCAGGCTGTGAACACACAAGGGTAGAAAGTATTCTTCTTCCTTAAAGAAAACAGAGTACATTTACTCAAAATGTTACCCAAAGTTTTAGAGCACAGAGAAAATTTCTCCTGCAGTGAATGTGCCACACAGAAAAAAGGAGAATTTGTGTTGCTGAATTCTCTCATAAAGTTCAACACCAGGGGAAACAAAACCACTAAGGATGACATATCCTTTCAGCCTCCAGCTTTGCTAGTGAAGCCAACTAGACTATCCACTGAAATAACGACAGGACTCGGCGTATCCATCTTCCGTTATTGGCAAGGCGGCCCTAGAATGCCTGGGTTTTGATGCAGCTGCCTTGGAAGGAAAGGGAGAGAGAACACCCCCATTGCAGCGACCGGCACACCAAGGCACAGTGGAAGTGAAGCAGTCCTGCCAGGGTCCCTGAAAGGCAGTGGGGAGCTGGAGACAGGTCAGAAAGAGTGGAGGAAGTGTAGACATTAGTGATAAGGCGATAACTAGAGGAAATGAAAACCCAGCAGTGTGGGAAAAGAACAATTAGCCAAGACAGCGGAGCAGGAAGGAATACAGAATGAATTACAATCAGAGGAAACGAGAGCCTGCAACAAAAGAGGAGTCGGGAGAAATGGCTGGGAGAAGGGACTTAGGAATGCCGGCTTTCTTTCAGGTGCTGCCGGGGCCCTATTGTTTGGATGCTGTGGCTCCCAATTTAACTCTTTCACACCTCGGAGTGTCAAACTCCAAGGCAGCTATCTTTATTCACGCAGCTCTTTGAGATTGTTGCACAAATATTATGAATTCCAGGTAAGAATGATTTCGTGATTAGTCCAGAAAAACCTGGCCCCCACCCCTAAAAGAGCTAACGTTTAAGCTTGGATCAGTAAGCAACATATTTCCATCAGAAACTACAAGAAGCATCCACAGCACGAGTATTAATTAGCAAGTATAGATAGTTTAAGAAAAAAGTATTCATGGAAATGAAATTTTTTATTTTTATTTTTCTTAAAACGATTGATTTTAGAGGGAGAGAGGAAGGGAGAGAAACAGTGATTTGTTGTTCCATTTATTTATGTATTCATTGGTTGATTCTTGTATGTGCCGGGACCGGGGATGGAAAACTGCAACCTTGGCATATTGAGATGATGTTCTAACCAACTGAGTTACCTGGCCAGGGCTGAAAAAAAAATTTAAACCTATAAAGGTGTTTAAAAGTAATTTTTATAACTATCAAAATGACTTATAAGGAGAGAAAATATTCTATAAGTAGAAAGCGGTGATAGAAAAAAGGATGGTTGTTTCATGAAAATAAGAATTTTCAATCAATGTATTTATCACACATTATTATTGGCACGAGAGAAAAAGATCTACTGGGAGTCCAAAATAAAATTGTTGTTGACTCATTCTTAAAAATTGATTGGCAGGCCCTGGCCGGTTTGGCTCAGCAGTTGGAGCGTCGGCCTGCGGTACAGAGAAAAATTGATTGGCAAGAAAGCTAAGAGGAAGCCCAACTTGAACCAACCAAGATGTTAAAATCATGGGAGAAAGCAAGCAGAAGGACGAACCAGGGCAGCTAACATTATTGAAAAGGAGGAGAGATTATTACAAAGTAGATGAAGATACTAAATAGGATTAGAAGAAGCAGATGCTATTACAAAGGGCTGACTGAGGGGCTAAGTGGATAATAAGGCAAATGAAGGATTCTGAGAAATCCCCTGTCCAGGAAATGAACGAACTGCTTAGACAAACTAATAAATGAATAAGAATGACCAAAAGTTACCAGAGAAAAGCAGAAGGCTCTTGATTTATACAGCCACCACACTTAAAAGAAGCTTTTTGTTGTTTTTTTTCCAGGGGCGGGGAGCTTTGAAACAATACTAAGAGGGTGTAAAAGTGAACTGAGAAAATCTAAAGTACACAGGGATGGAAGGTTGGTCTTAGGAAGAGCCAGAACAATAAAAGATTCTTCAAATACCTAAAAGTGACCATAGGTGAGGGGGAACTTTCAGGAACTTGAAAAATTAAACTAGGTTTTATTTTACTTTACTTTATTTTAATATTTTTTGTCTTGCCTTCCGCAGCCAATGAAATGTGTCAGGAGTGGAAACAGTGTCAGAAGAGTGATAAATGAAGGGCAATTAGGAATTTCCCTCCAATAAATTAATACGACTCAAGAAGAAACATTCCTGAGTGGGAAGGAAAAGTTGCAGAGATTAATGCTGCCTTAATGCAGTGTTTGGAAAGACAGAGATACTAGGGGAAACAGAGCCAAGTAACTCTAGCACATTTCTAGAAATGGACCAGGGAGAAAACAGAAAATAGCTAGAAGCATCAGGGTGAAATTACTAAATGCCTATTTATATGAGTTCAGAAAAATAAAACAATCCAATTGGAAGAAAAGCCACCTCCATTAAATTCTTGTAGTGGATTTTTGACATTTGTATTTATAGAGAAGACTGGTAAACAATACAAAGAGGGTATATAATCAAATTATACATACTCCTTTGTGAACTGAGAAAATCTAAAGTAGACCATGATGGAAGGTTGGCCTTAGGAAAAGACACAACAATATTTATTTATTGGTGTGGCTCCGTGGTTGAGTGTTGACCCATGCACCAAGAGGTTGTCAGTTTGATTCCTGGTCAGTGCACATGCCCATGTAGTGGGTCAAATCCCCAGTGGGGGGCATGCAGAAGGTGACCAACTGATGTACTCTCTCATTGATATTTCTATCCCTCGCTCCCTCTCCCTTCCTCTCTATCTAAAATCAATAAAGAAAAAAAAAATTTTAAACATTTATTGCATCATTAACATATTCTTCAAATGTGACTTGTTAACTAACATCATAGTATAGAGACTAGAAAGGAAGGATTAAGAGCAGATTAAACAAACCCTCCCTGCTTTAACACTCGAACAGACTTAAGGAGCTGACATCGTTGTAGACACAAAGGTTCCCACAGGTTTGGGCATCCAATGATAGAAGACCTATGTATTATGCATGAGTAAGAGATTTGTCTAAAAAGAGAAGATCTTCCCTGGCTGGTGTAGCTCAGTTGACTGAGCGTCCATCCCTGCACCAAAGGGTTGCTACTGATTCCCAGTCAGGGCATATGCCCTGGTTATGGGCTTGATCCCCAGCAGGGGGCATAAAGGAGGCCGCTGATCAATGTTTCTCACATGGATGTGTTTCTCTCCCTTTCCCTTCCTTTCTCTAATAAAAACATTTTAAAGAGAGAGAGAGAAAAGACTTCACAGAAAAGGTGCGCATTAAGAAATCCTTGCAGAGCCCTGGCCGGTTTGGCTCAGCGGTTAGAGCGTCGGCCTGCGGTCTGGAGAGACTCGGGTTCGGTTCCCGCTAAGGGCACGTACTCGGTTGCAATTTGTCCCCAGCCCTGGTTGGTCGTGCGGGTGGCAGCCACTCGATGTGTCCCTTCACGTCGATGTTTCTGTCTGTCTCTCCCTTCCTCTCTCTCCCTCCCACTCTATCTGTACAAAAAATGGAAAAATATCCTCGGGTGAGGATAAAAAAAAAAAAAAGAAAGAAATCCTTGCAGAGAGGTGATGGAACAATGGTTTTCTTGGCAGACAGGGAAGCAAGACAGTATTTCAGACATGGGGAAAACCTCTGAGAGAGCCTGGAGCCAGGAATGAGAAACAGATTGAGGAATTGAGATCAAGGCTTGGTAAGAACATAAGTTTGGTAAGGAGCAGTGGGAAAGGTTGGGTATTCTAGAAGGGTCCTCTAGACTAAGACAACCTGGGTTTGAAGTGCAGCTCTGTAGCTGTAAACCTCTCTGTGCCTTGGTTGCCTCATTTCAAAAATGGGATATTCGGCAAACCTACCTTAAGGATTGTTCTAAAAGTCAAGGGAGGGCTTCCGGTCTCCGTGAGCATGTGAGTTGCGAGTGGTGAGCCTGTTCAGATAAAATATGGCTAAAAGCTTACGGAGTAAGTGGAAAAGGAAGATGCATGCTGAAAAGAGAAAACAGAATGCTCCTAGAAACACATAGTCTCCCAAAACTGGACCAGGAAGAGACAGAAAACTTAAACAGACCAATAACAACTAAGGATTGAAGAGGTAATCAAGACTCTCCCAGCAAACAAAACCCCAGGCCCGGATGGCTTCACGGGGGAGTTTTACCGAACATTCAAGAAGGAACTAACACCCATTCTCCTCAAACTATTTCAAAAAATTCAAGAAGAAGGAAGACTTCCAAACTCATTTTATGAGGCCAGCATATTTCTAATTCCAAAACCAGAAAAAGACACTACAAAGAAAGAAAACTACAGGCCAATATCCCTGATGAACATAGACGCCAAAATCCTGAACAAAATACTAGCAAATCGAATCAAAATACTAGCAATACATCAAAAAAATTATTCACCATGACCAAGTGGGATTCATTCCAGGTATGCAAGGCTGGTACAATATTTGCAAATCAATAAATGTGATACACCACATAAACAAAATGAAGAATAAAAACCACATGATCATATCAATAGATGCTGAAAAAGCATTCGACAAAATCCAGCACCCATTTCTGATCAAAATGCTCAGCAATGTGGGAATAGAGGGATCATATCTCGACATAATAAAGGCCATATATGAAAGACCTACAGCCAACATCATACTCAATGGACAGAAACTAAAAACATTTCCATTAAGAACAGGAACAAGACAGGGATGTCCACTTTCGTCACTCTTATTTAACATAGTACTGGAAGTCTTAGCCACAGCAATCAGACATGGGAAAAAACATAAAGGGGATCCAAATTGGAAAGGAGGAAGTGAAATTGTCATTATTTGCAGATGACATGATATTATACAGAGAAAACCCTAAAGACTCCATCAAAAATCTACTAGAGTTAATAAATGAATTTGGCAAAGTAGCAGGATATAAAATTAACGTCAAGAAATCGATGGCATTATTATACACCAATGATGAACTCACAGAAAGAAAAACTAAAAACTAAAAAAAAATCCCATTTACCATTGCAGCAAGAAAAATTAAGATACCTAGGAATAAATTTAACCAAAGAAGTAGAGGACCTATTTGCAGAAAACTACAGGATATTGAAAAAAGAAATAGAGGAAGATATAAAAAAGTGGAAGCACATACCTTGTTTATGGATTGGAAAAATTAGCATCATTAAAATGTTCATATTACCCAAAGGAATCTATAGATTCAATGCAATCCCCATCAAAATACCAACAACATATTTCACAGAACTAGAACAAATACTTCAAAAGTTCATATGGAACCAAAAAAGACCCCGAATAGCCACAGCAATCTTGAAAAAGAAGGACAAAGTGGGTGGGATCACAATACCAGATATCAGGTTATACTACAAAGCTACTGTAATCAAAACAGCCTGGTACTGGCACAAGAACAGGCATATAGACCAGTGGAACAGAGCAGAGAACCCAGAAATGGACCCAAGACATTATGCTCAATTAATATTTGACAAAGGAGGCAAGAGCATACAGTAGAGTAAAGACAGCATCTTTAATAAATAGTGTTGGGAAAAAATTGGACAGGTACGTGCAAAAAAAATGAAACTAGACCATCAACTTAACCATACACAAGAATAAACTCAAAATGGATAAAAGAATTAAATGTGACCCGTGAATCCATAAAAATTCTAGAAGAAAATGTAGGCAACAAAATTTCGGACATCATACACAGCAGAATTTTCACTGATACATCACCTAAGACAACAGAAACAAAGGAGAAAATGAACACATGGGACTACATCGAACTCAAAAGCTTCTGCACAGCAAAAGAAACAACCATCAAAATGGAAAGTCTACCCACTGTATGGGACAGCATCATTGCCAATGATACATCAGATAAGGGGTTAATTTTCAAAATATATAGAGTACTCATACAACTCAACAAAAGGAAGACAAAGAACACAATTAAAAATGGGCAGAGGAGCTGAATAGACACCTCTCCAAACAGGACATACAAATGGCCAAGAGACATATGAAGAAATGCTCAACATCACTAATCATCAGAGAAATGCAAATTAAAACAACAATGAGGTATCACCTCACACCTGTCAGAATGGCTGCCATCAACAAATCATCAAACAACAAGTGTTGGCGAGGTTGTGGAGAAAAGGGGACTCTAGTGCACTGCTGGTGGGAATGCAGACTGGTGCAGCCACTATGGATAACAATATGGTGTTACCTCAAAAAGTTAAAAATTGAACTTCCATTTGACCTAGTGATCCCACTTCTAGGAATATACCCTAAGAAGCCTGAAACACCAATCAGAAAGAATATATGTACCCCCATGTTCGTAGCAGCACTATTTACAATAGCTAAAATCTGGAAACAGCCCAAGTGTCCATCAGTAGATGAATGGATAAAAAAGCAGTGGTACATATAAACAATGGAGTACTATGCAGCTGTAAGAAAGAAAGATCTCTTATCCTTTGAGATGACATGAAGGAACCTGGAAAGTATTAACCTAAGCGAAACAAGCCAAGCAGAAAAAGACAAATACCACATGATCTCATTTATCTATGGAATATAATGAACATAACAGTTTGAGGAATAGGGTAGACCCAGAGACGTGAAAGTAGGATATAGACTGACAACCCTCAGAAGAGGGGGTGGTGGGGGGAGGGAAGAGATAAACCACAGAACTTATATGCATGTTCACATAACCAATGGACATGGACAACAAAGTCAGAGATGGGGCTGGGGGGATGGGGAGGAGGGTGTCAATGGGGTAAAAAAGGAGAAATATCTGTAACAAAAATAAAATTAAAAATAATAATAATAATAAAAAAGAAAAATATCCGTACTACCCCTAATCATCCCCCATTCCTCATCACCAACAATGCATTCAGAAAGAAGCACTGTTGGCGGGAAGGAGGAATTGGGAGGAGGGTGTCTAGGGAGGAAAAAGGAGAAACATCTGTAGCAAAAATAAATTAATAAAAATTGCAAAAACTAAAGAAAAGAAAAAAAAAAGAATGCCCCCAAAAAGCTTATCAGACTTAAAAGTATTCTTAAAGTAGATACTGATGTTCTAATGAAAGATGTTCAAGAGATAGCAACCGTGGTGGTCCCCAAACATTCTGAAGAGAAAACCCAGTGTGTGGTGAAAGATGAAAAAGATGACATGAAAATGGAGACTGATATTAAGAGAAAAGAAAAGAGTCTTCTAGACCAGAATGGACAGTACCCCATTTGGATGAACCAGAGGCAAAGAAAAAGACCGAAGGCAAAGCGAAAGAAAGGGAAGGGGGAATACATCGCAAAGGCAGTGAAGGCGGCTAAGGGTCCGGCCTGGTAGACTTTTTTTTTTTAATTTTTTTTTTAATCCTCACCCGAGGATATTTTTCCATTTTTTGTACAGATAGAGTGGGAGGGAGAGAGAGGAAGGGAGAGAGAGTGAGAAACATCGATGTGAAGGGACACATCGAGTGGCTGCCACCCACACGACCAACCAGGGCCGGGGACAAACTGCAACCGAAGTACATGCCCTTAGCGGGAACCGAACCCGGGTCTCTCCGGACCACAGGCCGACGCTCTAACCGCTGAGCCAAACTGGCCAGGGCCGGTCTGGTAGACTTTTAAAAACTTACAAATGCCATACGGGACAGATCCTTGACTAGAAGGTGTTCACTGATTTCAGCTCCCACCAAATGAAAACTTTCTTTCCATATTTTAGCTGGGTCTATTTCTTCAATTTAAACCCAACATGACACCTCAAATTTGTTTTGAGAACTTGAATAAAATATTTTCCTTGGTGAAAAAAATCAATCAATCAATCAAGGGAGACCATATTTGGGAAATGACAGTAGCTATAGCGATGAATAAATTGTAGTCAGTCTGAGGATGAGAACGCACACCCTCCTTACTTCCTCAGCATCATCTCTGGCTGACACTCTATTCCCTTCGAAGCATTACCTTCTGAAGACCACAGCCCCCCTTAGCCAGCTCTCTCTAAGAGGTGGTAGGAAGGCCAAACATCCTCAATTTCCCTTTTCCCACTAAAAACTTATTCCATTTCTTCTCCATATAACTTCCCCTCCTGTTTCCGAGGACACTGCGTCCCCACTCCTTTGCAAAGACAACCTCTCTCTCGCACTATGGATTCAACAGTTTCCTCCAGGCTCTTGCAGGATGATGTTTCACCAGTGAGCTCATCCCTCTTTCCGGGCTGCAGCTCCTTCCCCTCGGCCTCTGGCCATGCTCCAGTGCCAGTCTGAGGATTCTACCAACCAATGACAGTTACTTGATGGGTTGTTCAACAATATTCTGGAATGGATCATAAAGGCAGTTTCAATAGCCTGTCCTGTGATGAAGAATTGAACTATCTATGTTTCATTGAGGGTATCTGGCCCTGCATGGCCACAGGATGTGTATGAATCACCGTGTAAAAGGGGAGCCCCTGTAAACATTTACTATTTGTGGCCTTAGTTCTGAATTGCCTTTCTGGACCTATTTCTCTTCCCTGTTTCTCATCCACTCCTCACTCTCTGAGCGGACAGATTTACTGTTTGATATCCTTCTTCGGCTCCCTGTTTTATCTTTGAACTTGATGTTCACCCCATTTCCCTTCTGGCATGACTGTGCTCCTCCTAGCAAAGACTCTGCTCTTTCCCTCTGGGATGGGGGGGGGGCACTGCATTGAGCCCTTTCAGGTGAACCTGGGGACCTTTCAGTTGGGGCTCCACTCCTGGGGGGTGGGACACCTAGTAGGTTTTGTGCTGGAACTGGGAAGGCATGAGCTGACACACACATGCCCTCAAATATGTAGAAGAAGCATTTTTCTTATTCTCTATGGCCCCAAAGGATAGAAGGAGCTATAGTGGGACAATAAAGGGACAGAGTGCAGTTTAAAACAAAAACGAAGAGGTATTTGACAGCGGTCAGCACAGACACAGCCATCACTTCCTTGTCTCTGGAAGGTGCTCAAGCAAAGACTGGCTAGCGCTCAAGTGGCAATGCTCGCGAAAGGAGTCTTGCATCCTCTGGGTCATTGTACTGGGGGTCTACAGGTCCTATCAGTACCGAAGCTCTCAGATTCGGAACTTTCATGATTCTTTGCGTTAAAAAGAAAAATGTCAGGTGCTTGACTACAAGGGACAATGTGGAGTGAGAAGCATTGGAGGGTCACTCACACACATGGCTCCTGCCCAAAGGAAGCTAACCATGGAGATGAGAAGCAGGCGAGAAGCAGGAGAGTTTGACTCTCTGTTGGGAGGGAGGAGCCACACCCTCCCAACAGAGGCCTGGCGCTGTTTTTCTGTGTCAAATGGAGCAGCTTAGACCTAAAGAATGTCTGCAGTTTTCGTCTTCCCACACGGATACTCTATAATAATTAGTTTTACTGCTTTTTTCACAAGCTATTACTTTAATTACTTTAATTAGATAGTTCATGCACTCTAGTTGTTTACAAGCACTTTCTTTTGATAACATATTAATAAACAGTAGAGGGAAGCTACCACCTTGGAGGAAGCCAGGAAGTTGTCAGTAGGTAGGCCAGGGCCCAGAGCAGGGAGGCAGCTTCTACTCTAACCTGGAGACCACCCAGCATCCTGAGACCTTCTCAGAGAAGAGGCAAGTCCCCTCCCCTGGACAGAGTCTAAGTCACATACTTATCCTCTGTGGTCATTGCCCCTTCCGTCAAAGCAACAGAGAGCAAATAACCTGTTTTCTGTATGCTCCTCGGACAACAACAACCACAGAGTAAATAGTGAAGGTTATGGATGGTTACCTGTCGACCTTTATTAAAATTCCACATACTTGACATTTCTTAGCTATCTGGTTTGACTCCTGGGTTCTACCCCTTACCAGTTGTGTGATCTTGAAAAAAATAACTTCTCAAATTCTCAGTTTGCCTATTTGTCAAATGAAGGTAAAAACACCAAACCCGTTGGGTTCTTTGGAGGATTAAATGAGTTGGCAGCACTGGGTGGGTGCTGAGACTCTGCCAGCACAGAGCAGTCATTCCATCGTTATCTCCTCCTCCTCCTCCTCTCTCTTGCCTGCTTTCTACCCTTCTCCGCAATTTTGATATGACCAAGTTGGGACTCTTTGTTTCCAGACTTCAAGGCTCTCTCTTCATTATTATTCCTCAGCCATCTTTTACATGAGTATGAAAGACAGAAAACAAGATAAGTTGAGAACACAATTTCCAAGGAATCGTCACTATTTGAATAGTTCTACTGGGCCATCGGAAAGACTCCAAGTCCCCTTTCCCGTGGCTGTTACATCACACTCTCAAAAAGATGCACACGTTCTGTTTTGGGGCTGGTGTCCCTCAGGGCTCCTCCCCACGGGGGCGGGGCTGACCAGCCCAGGGAATGTCGAGGGGCTACGTGCGGCTCTGCAGGCTCGGCCCAGACCCCGAAGGAGACAGGCACCGGGACCTGAGGTTTTGGTAGCCCATGGCCCAGTATGCCTGTCTAACATCACACTTGGAACTTTTTTTTAAAAAAAAAAAAACAAAGCCCAGGACTCCGGAAAGCCCTGCCGCGTGCTGTCCGAGTTGTCTCACATTTGCTCAGGTGGACACTTACCCTGGAAAAGAACGCAGGAGTCACCAAAGCAGTCACCCGGGAATCCATCAACACAGGGAACTGGAGCTCTTTATAGCAGATCCCCAGAACCTCATCCTTTGTGTGCGATGGGGCTGCTAAACCATTCTCAGGGAAATGGGATTTAATTTTTAAATTTTCTTTTACTAAAACGAATACATTAATGCAAACAGAAAATTTTTCCCCAGGAGTTTTCCTATGACTAGGATCTAGAACAGAGAAAAATATTTGGTCTATGTTGAATTGAAATGTTTGCACTTGACCTCATGTGTTGTATTGTTCCAATTAAATATGATAACCAGAGGTATTTTTATTACAACTCAAACGCCAAAGGAAGAATTGACCACATGGTTTTCAAAAGGAATCTTTTGGCACCATCTTGTGACTCTTTTTGGTATAATTTCCACAAAACCAAAAGCATCCCATTTGTTTTCTAAAGGAGTCGTCTGGCTCCCTCACGTGGCACATCACGGAACTGGGGAAACAGCGGCGAGATAAAGCCTTTGTCCCAGGAATTGTTTGCTGTCCTGTTCTTTTAGTGATTCCCTGAAGAATTACAGTGTAACAACTTACTAATTTGTTTGTGCAGATTTGAAATGCAAAATAAATACTGATAAATTCTCATTTTAACCTCAGAAATGGAAATTGTGAGCATCGCTTTAATGGAAGAAGTGGACAGTGGAGAGGCTCAAAATTCTCCTGGGTTGAGAACCACTGAGAGAGAGTACACTACGAAATCGTTGAGATACAGTGGAGGAAAGCAGCATTATCGCCAGTATAACTTTTCATTTTCCCACTTGTCCTGAGACAGGTGGGAAACAATAGAAAAATGGCATTGGCCCGGCTGCAAGACCAGCTCCCAGAAAAATGCCCCAAAGCTGACATGTTAATGCCCCTGCAGCCTGAGAATACACCTCGGACATGGAGCCCTATGGAACAATCAGTCTTGACTATGTAAGATTTTCATGGTTGCAATATATAACTGCATCATAAAATGTTTCCCAAAAATCTGGAAAAGAACAACTCTCATGACTTCCTGACCTTCAGGTTCTCGGGGCTCTGGCTTTCGGCTTCATTTAACATGTCATGCTCGTCTCTGCACCCTTCTTCTTGAGCTATTCTCAGGTAACTATCATAGTTCTCCTTCATATTTGGTGTTAGCTTAAAGATTTAGATCTCCTTCCACAAAGACAACCTTCTAAGAGTTTCCAAAGGGAACCTCCTTTCTTCCACCATTCTCTGTGAGTGTCTAACTTAAATATGTCAGAATTTCACCCTTTTCTGCTACAGCTCTTAAACTGCTTTTTAATGATCAATATTTCATTTATTCGTTTCATCACTCGTTTGATAATTACCTATTATATTCTGTGCACAGTGTTAAATGTCAGGAATACAAAAGGCATTAAGCTAGTCCCTAGCTTAATTGAGGAGCCCACTTACAGTACAGTACTAAATAAAGAGAAATTACAATACATTGCATGCAGCCAGGGATGGAATGCAGGTGTCAGTGAAAGAACTAATTCTGCCTCAAGATAGTCCAAGAAGGTTTCACAGAGGAGGCAGCAATTAATTGGGCATAGAGGATGAAGAGGAGTTTGCCAGGCAAAGAATAACACAGGCAGAATGAATCACATGCTGTAAAGACTAGATCTGTGAATGAGTCTGATTCGTTTCTATTCTTGCCTTCTAGATACTCTTCCCCAAAGATGGGAGTCTCTTTTTTTTTTAATTATTTTTATTAATTTGT